TATGTTCCTCCCTTAACGTCAGAGACCAAGTTTCACACCCATACAGAACCACAGGAAAAATTATAGTTTTGTATATTCTAATTTTTATGTTATTGGACAACAACAGAGAAGGCAAAAGGTTCTGGACTGAACAACAGCAAGCATTACCAAAATTCAATCTCCTCTTAATTTCCTCCTGAATCAGGTTTCGATCTGTTATCATTGTTCCCAAATATCTGAACTGTCCCACATTTTCAAAACATCTGTTTCCTATCTTTATGTCATAATTTTGCTCTGCATTTTGGTGATGAAACAGTAACATATACATCTACGTATCTGTTATAGAATGTAATTTTCTCGTCTTCCAGCAGATGTTTCATTCTGCTTTGTTCCATGTCTTATAAGAAAATTTCTGCCATTGTACTTGATAAGGGGGAGCCCATGGCTACGCCTGTTCTTGGTTTGTAATATTTTTTGTTATACTGAAAATAGTTTTGATTCAATATCATTTTAAGTAGGGACACAATTTCTTTTATAATGCTTTCGTATATGTGATTGTCTTTGAGTAGTTTATTGGTTACGAGAATTGTGTCGCTGATTGGGATATTAATGTAGAGGTCCTTAATATCCATTGTTAGTAGTTTATGATTTGGATTTACTTTTAGTTTTCTTGTGTTTTCTGCAAATTGTTTTGTGTTAATAATGTTATATTCATGTTTTAATTTTAGATAGTCGTTTAGTCTTTGATGTATGTATTTAGCTAGTTTATGTGTGGGTGCATTAGTGTTGTTTATTATCGGTCTAATTGGGGCCTCTGGTTTGTGTATTTTAATTTTTGCTTTTAGTTTAGGTGCTTGTGGGTTCATTTGGTGAACATCCTTTCTTTTTATTTGGTCTATTATAATTTTACATTGTTTTAAAGTGTTTTGTACTGTTCTTTGATATTTTTTGTGTAGCGTTTGTTTTTAATTCGGTGATGTTATTAGTTTCAATAAATGAATTTACTTTATCATTTAGGTCTTGTTTATAAATAATAACTAATGTTTTTTCTTTATTGGTTTCTGCTATGGTTGCTTTATGTTGTATTAATTTTTGTTGTATTTGTTTAGTCGTGTGTGTTTGTGCTTTGTATTCTTTATTTGTTATGTTTTGTTTTGACGCTAATTGTTGTATGTTTCTTTTGTCGCTAAGTATCTAATAGCTTCGTGTTGATTAATGTCTTTTACTTGTCTTACCGCATTTTCTGTCTCGTAGACTAATTGTTTTATACTTATTTTTGGAGAGATACCGATATTATATTTGCTTCCTTTATTTAGTAAATTTTCCTTTTCAGTGAATTGTATGTTAGTCATATTGCGCAAACACGGATAAAATGTTTGTTCACTAGTTGCCTTTTCATGTTGTTGATTAGTTAAATTATCAATTTTATTATTAAATTTATTATAGTTTATTTAGTTTATTATATATCTCCTTTCTCAAGATAGACAGGCGGGCACAAGATCAGCCACCTCCAAGAAAGACAATAGGAGAATTGACACGAACCTGCATGGTTTATAAATTTTAATCTTAAAGAACAAAGTTTTTAAAAAACTTTAAAAAAATGTTAATACCAGGAAGGTTGCTGTGACTGTGAAAAGTTGAACATTGTGTACATTGTGTATTTCAGACATTATATGTGTATGTATATAATTTTAACACCTATTGTAATAGTACTTTCCAGAAAAAGTATTGATGACCTCTGAAGATGATCCATAGGGATCAAAACATGTAAGGGTGATGAGTTTTCAAGTGATAAAACTTAAATAGTCACACTGGACGGTGTTGTTTTTGTCTTTGTAATTGTTAGTGTGACGGACCAGAATGAAACAAATCAAATTCCTCTTAAAGTCATTTATTCCTCTATACAGGTCTCTAATGTTCTTGTTCTTACTGTTCATTGCAAGCCTCTCTTTTATGGAACATAATTATAATGATCTCCTTACTAAAATAATTTGTGTTATTCTTTATTGTATTTATATTTTTAAATAATAAACTAATATCAACACACACACCAGAAGCTGATGTGTCCCATTTTATTCCAATCTCCACAGATTTTCTTGGGCTTTCTTAATGGCACACTCAAAAACAAAACTAAAAAGCAATGACGAAAAAGTATCACCTAGTTTGAGAACATTCTAAATGCATCAGACAAACATTTTTCTGTACAGATTTCATTTAAGAGTTTATTCTAACACAATGTAACTGGCCTAACTGGATTTCTGTACATAAAATTCAATGAAAATATTGTACAATATTTCTGCTCTGAGTCATATGCTTTCTGAGCCTACAAACAGCTGATGTAATCTTGTTTCTTTTTTACAATTTCATCAGTGGAGAATGTCTGAGAGCTGATCTATTATTATATCAGAATGCATACTGGAGACCTCAGAATCCACAATGATCATCCACCATGTGTTTGTCTATGTACAAGTATTGAGGTAATACTGCTGGAATAATGCTGTATGAAAATTTGTACAAAGTTCATAACAGACTCCCTGATAATTCATACAGTCAGCTTAACATCTTTTTTATGGGGCAACATGTTCCTCCAAAACATCAGTTGTCTTTCAATGGACTATGCATTATATCCCATAAAACAAACTTTTCATAACCACCGCTGTGAGAATTGCAAATCCTATGTGCCATTGCTTTTCAGCTCTGCTTTAGAAAATGCCATTAGGAAGGTCAAGAAAAACCAGGTACAACTGAAACTGAATAGGGACATATCAACTTCTGGTCTATGCTAATGATATTAACTTACTGGGAGATAACAAAAATACCACCATAAAAAAGAATGAAGCTCTAATAGCCACTAGTAAATTGGCTGGTCTTGAAGTAAATCAAGCAAAAACTATGTACATGTTATCTAGTCGCCAGAATGCAGGACATAATAACAAAAAGGTAGCTAACCAATCCCTTGAAATTGTGGCAAAGTTAAAATAACTGGGAACAACAGTAAGGTAAAGGTAAAGTTGTACCCCTGCTTAATTACTCAGGCACCATGCCACGAAAACATATGTGGGACTGGAAGTATAGTTCCACTGTTCTCGACCTAGGTAAAGTAATAAATCAAAACTACTCGTACATTCATGAGGAAACTGAAGAGCAGATTAAATTCATGGATGCTTGCTAACATTCACCTCAGACTGTTTTTTGTCTTCTCACCTATCTGAAGACATAAAAATCAGAATATACATAACTGTAATTATAATAATGCCTGTAGTTTTGTATGGGTGTGTAACTTGGTCTCTTGTATTAAGAGATAAACATAAGCTGAGGATATCTGAGAACAGGCTTCTGAGAATAAAAGCACCTAAGAAAGATAAAACACTAAAAGACTGGAGAAAAATGCATAATGAAGAGCTTCATAACTTGTATGCCCTGTCAAATATTATCAGAATGATCAACTCAATGAGAACAAATTGAACAGGGCATGTAGCACTCATGGGACAGTAGCCCATACAGGGTTTTGGTATAGAAACCTGAAGGAAAGAGACCACTAGGAAGACCTAAACATACATGGAAGGATAACATTAAACTTGTTCTTAGAGAAGCAGGATGGGGGGGTTAGACTGGAGTCATTTGAATCAGGGTAGGAACCAGTGGCAGGTTCTCGTGAACACAGTAATGAGCCTTTGGGTCTCATACAGTGCTGAGAATTTCTTGAGTGGATGAGCAACTGCTGGCTTCTCAAAGATACAGCTCCATGCAGTTAGTTAATGTGTTCAAATTTCATGCACAATGAATTCTTTAAACATATTATGACATGAGGGCTGAAAGCTAGAACAGTGGAACCAGTGGCAGTAAACTGTCAGTCGGGAAGTAACTCTGACTTTGTTGATTCTTCCTTTAACATACAGTAGGCCCTCACTGCACCATGCTTCATCACACGATGAATTCAGATAAGTTGAAGCTTTCAAAATATCCCCCACGACAGTTATATATGTTTGACGTTGCACAAATTTCTATGAAATGTTTTAGTTACATTATAAAACTGTATATCAACATCCCTTGCTGTAATATGCAGGTACAAAGGGTAAAGTTCATAGTCTGCTACAAAGAGGCTGTATATACACATGGTCAGAAATAACACTTAGCTATTGGAAAAGTTAAGAATATTAGTCACTGGATAAATACTGTATACATAACAACAGGAAGTCCAAAATTTGATGTCAATTTCACTTATGAAGGTACTGAAGCTGTCCCATACACCCACTTTATATTGAGGGCTTACTGAATTTTTTCCCCCTTGGCACTACAGCCCTAATTTGAACCTTGGCCTACCCCCATGAAACTCTCCATTTCACTTCAGTTTACTAGATCTTAGACATTCAGTAGGACTCCTTGGGTGGGTGATCAGCTCGTCGCAAGGCCTCTATCAGTACACAAACACTAAACATCCATGCCCTGAGTGGGATTCGAACCCACAATCCCGGCTTCCAAGCAAGCGAAGACAGTGCATGCCTCAGATTGCCTGGCTACCATGACCAGCGTTTACTGCATTTATATATACTGAAATGTAAATATTCTCATAACCTCAACGTAATAACATCATATTAATGTAAACACAAAGATTCACCTTTAAGATTCGTAGCTTCACAGCAAGACGAGCCTTCTTATAACCAAATCTTTCAACTTCCCAGCCATCTTGGTTTGAATAAGAGTGACAAAACTTTATTAGTGCTCGTTCCCACCGTTCTCCAGACACAGATTTTCGAGCCTTCCTCAGTAATTTCACATGAAGGTCCACCAATGGCTGAGGAACTGAAACCAATACAGATCAGTATATCATCAACTAAAATACAACTTAAAATACACTGGATAATAAAGGCAATGAATACATAAACAAGTCATATTCTGCATACGTGTGCATGCATGACCCCCCCCATGCCTCTCTAAAAGTACACGCTATTCCAGTTACAGTTAAACCGGACGTTAAATAAACCAGATCGAAATATGAAAAATTCTGTTCACAGTTGAGTGCAAACTTTAAAAAGACACATGGGATTTAGAAACAAGAGGGATTAGAGCAAGAGTACTTTAGCTTTGTGTTGAGGGCAGCTGGAGAGACTAAAACTACACACAAAAATATCCAAGACTGGATTTGGCTGGATGAAGCAGACCATGGATTTCAGCTTCTGACAGAGTAAGAAATTGCTTCAGCAATCTTTTTATTTATTTTCATCAACACTACCTATATTATTAAATATTCAATTTATTTGTTTCTTTTTGTCTTTTAGGGCTATCTTTTGCTTCATTATTCCAGATGATCTCTCCCCCAAATAAATCTGGATTAGTGATGGTTTACCGTACAGTTTTCTGGCTACAACCTTGTGCAGCTTGGTGAGTACTGTGTTTTGAAGGGGCATACTGCCTCTGTCTCCAGGGTAAGAGGTCTACTGCACAATGGTAGCATATCACTAGTACAGATCTGACAGAAGTTGTTTGAATGCTCTCAGAATATGATGCAACAGATGCTATGAGGTGTGTTCCTTATTCTTATCCCTGCACATTATATTCATGGTTTGATAAATTCTTGAGAAACTTGTCATCATAAGCAAAAAATGGGCTTTATGGAAATATAGCACCCCTTTAACAAACATGGACCACCTCTGTGGTCCAGTGGTCAGAGTTCCTGGTTACAGATCCAGAGGTTAAGGTTTGATTTGCGGCACTACCATATTTTTTTGAGAAGTAGTGCATCTAGAACAGGGTCCACTCAGCCTCGTGAGGACAATGGAGGAATTATTTCAAGGAAACAAGAAAACCGAAATTAACAGCCATGGGGATTCGTTGTGCTGACCACGCAACACCCTCTATCTGCTAATAAGTTAGCACTAACTTCACCGACAAGTGGCAGTCACTTAGTCGGTCAGTATAGTTCGCTTGCAGACTAAAACTACATAAGTTTCTTTTAGTACAAACATGAAACATGTTCATTTGTGACACCATGCAATATTACCATTTCCCAACTTCCTTCTGACATAATAAGAAAAACTGAAGCAGAAATGAGGACTACAAAAAATCCTATGCTTTGAGCAATATGGAAGTGCTACCATTTTCACATACTATGGCTGTAAACAAATCAGTCTTAAAGGAAGTGTCCTTTAATGTCTTAACTTTCTGCCCACTAGCACCTAAAATGTTTATGTTTAATGATTTCTTTTAGGCATTAAGTCCCTGACCAAGGAATGTCGGAAATTTCTGTATGACAATTTTGAACCACTACAGGCGAGAAGGATAAAACTTCTCAAAACTGAACGTCCATGTGTGGAAATGATAATTTTCATCAATATCCATGTATATCTGCTAATAGCGTACCCCTAGTCACACAGCCATGTGTCTGTTGTCTTATATTATGGCTGGTTGACATTTCTGTTCCCATCACAAGATACCCTACTGCTGCGCTGGCATTCATTTGGGGGATATGAGGAAAACTATTAAACACTTCAGAACTATTGGTATCTTGGATTAAATTCAGAACAGGTACCTAATATACAAGCTAGAAGTGATAATGCTCGTGCCAGCTAGCTTCGTTAGATTTTTTTTTGTCTGCTGAATTAACATTCAGCATAGTGTAATCATCAGGTGTAATGGCTCTTCCCTACACTACTCTGAGCCCCTGGTGCAGGTGAGGGCTATACAGTGAACTCTGACTGTTGAATATCATGTGAAAAAATCTTCCATTTGAAATGAACTACTGACTAGAACAGCATAAACCCACTGTGTGAGCATGTTTTAGGACACTTTTCAGTTCACAGTCATTTACATTGTTGCACCATACAGAGAACTGATGCAAGTATTCTCAGAATAAAATATATGGCTGTCAAATTAACTAACTATTATATTACATGGCTTGCTGGTTGACTGGTACTGTGCTGGAACAGCTGAGTTTCAACACGTGGCATGGAAAAAAGAAAGTATTTATTTCCACAGATGAAGACTCAGTTCACAGCAAATATATCATAAGCTCTCCTCAAAAGTCTGTTGCACTAATTTCCCCCATATTTCATAGGGTAAACAATATATACACTGAAAATAACTGTAAACACATGTAAAGAAAAACTGCACATGTAATGACTGATTATTTAAAAACTCTGTATTTAGCAGAATGGATTGTTTCCTAATAATCTAGTTTTTACTTTCACATTTAAGCTTAAAATGCACTATATAAAAATTATTTTCTGACAGCAAGCATCTTATGGTATTTTAAGTAACAGTTTAACCTGGCTGTGTAATGAAAGATGAATTAAAATGCCTTATACATTATGGGTTAATCATCTTGACAGAAATAACGGTTATATTTTAATAAAAAAAAGGTTGTAAGTGCATCCTTGGATTTATGAAAATCATAAGTATACAAAAGAAGTGTATATTATACAGGGACAAAAAGAGCTAGACAGCATCCACAGAGGTGAGATCTAGTTTAAACTTCTCTAAGTAATTTGTCTTTTGGAACTGTCCTACAGTTTGTAAACTTGAGACAAATGTGTCCATCATTTAAGTTAATAATTTTATATATGGTATGGCTGCAATTCTGCAGTAATGGAATATGATGGTACAAATAAAAACCCAATACTTAAGCATTAAACAAAAGTGTTGGATTTCAGACATCTATCTTCCGGGATATAATGCCATGTAGTCTGGTGACAGTCAACCTGTTGCTCTGCTTGCTGCCTGCTTCATGTTGGTTTCCAGTTTCACTTAATCTCTGACCATGAAGATGGATGCAATACATTCCTCCAAAACATGCTGACTTTTCCATACTACAAGGCATTGTATCCCACATGACAGAACTCTTCATTAAACAAAAATGATTCAGTACACTGTCTTCAGACAGAAACAAATACAGAAACTCAGAAGTTAGGATTAACAAGAAGTTCTGAGAAGAACTAATTGTCTAATTTCCTTTCACTGTAATTTGAGTATCTGATATGACAAGTAGAAAGAAAACTTTAATACATATGTGTAATGATTTATGAAGTACAGTGTTGAGACGTCCTCAGATGACAAGATATACGTAGCAAGGTTCATAAAGATTTTTGGGGCATTCAGGTAATATTAAGGTTATTACCTTGACACTTTGAGAGGCTGCAGTGTTGTTATTACTAATGGGAAGGATTTATGGTGTATGCCATTGCGATGACCTCAGATAGCATGATACGTACATACCAAGTTTCATAACACCAGGTCAGAAATTCAAGTAACATCAAGGGTATTCCCCCAACAATTTTAGGGGTTGTAGTGTTGGTACTACTGATGGGAGAGATTTATGATTTACACAACTGAGATGGCCTCAGGTGGCATGATATATACATACCAAGTTTGATGAAGACTGGAAGAGGCGTTCAGGCAATATTAAGGGTGTGCCTCAGAAATATGAGAGACTGCAACACTGGTATTACTGATGGAAGGGATTTATGGTGTATACCAACGAGATGGCTTCATGTGGCACGATATACTTACCAAGTTTCATGAAGATTGGTATAGGCATTCAAGCAATATTAAGGTTTTGCCTGAGAATAATGAATGTTGGTATTACTGATGGGGAAGATTTACGAATTATGCTACTGAGATGGGCTCAGGTACCATGATACACATACCAAGTTTCATAAAGATTGGTTCAGGCATTCAAAAGTTGTTAGGAGGGATACACATATAGACAGCAAGGTGAGCTCACAAATCTATATTTTCTTCAAAATAAGAAAAGTAAGCTAACAAGGAATAAGGAAATGACAGTAAATTCCTCAAGATCCATACTCTTCATGTGAATGAATGGTAATGCAAAGTACAGGGAATCCAATTTATTATTAGACTAGCCAGCTAGAAATTTGTTAACCCATGTCGAATACTGGCTGTTGAATCATCACTTAGCCACCCAATGCTTTTTGGCTTATCTCAAAGGAGCTACCTGTTTAACATTTAGTTGCCCCTGAGCCATACACAAACACAGTCCATACTACTGTGAAAGGTGTTAAAAGGAATATAGCGCTGAAAAGTACTTATTCATGATACTTTTGTATAGTGTCCTTCATGGTTAAAATGTCCTACCATGACAGTACAATGCTATGCAAAGCAACAACAGGTACTTAACAAAAATAAATCTCATAAATGGCATGTATTGACTGAAGAAAAACAAGATAACACTGATGCTAAATTAGAAGCAAACCCTAAGATGATGTTATGTCTTCTGGCTCTTCAGTGTGGGGTGCCAAAAGTATAGCTCAGCTTGGTACAAAGTTGTTAACGTAAAATACTGCACACATACCAATGGCCCTCCAAGCATTTTAACCACTTCATATGTGTATACAAGCAAGAAAACTGTCGCCATATGTCCATATACTCGTATATGACATAACATTACAATTGCAACAGTCTACCTTAATAGGACATATTATATGCATAGTTCTTACTTACATTTTAATTCTGTAACTTATCTCCTTTAAAATCTTTATCTTTTATTGTATTTCATGTTTCATACGATTATATTATGGTATACTGTCAAAAAATCCAACATTGCACTGAATTATATAGCATGCAATTCAATAACTTAAGAACATGTTAACTGTGTATTTGCCTGATGATGGCTTTCTAAAAAGCCAAAACATGCAGCAAAATACTGTTAAACATCAACTGTTTTGTTGTTGTGTTGTGACGGATTTTAATAAAGAAATTTATATATTGTTTTGGCCTATTTTCCCTCTTTAAGGAAACATGCAGGCTTTCAGATCACAGTATACATGTGTGTGCATGCATACGTGGGT